AATTGTTGTGTGCCTGTCCCCTGACGAGTGTGAAATTAAATAAAGAGGGAATTTGGAGCCACATAGAGATAGACGGGCATAATTGGGTGTATTACTCTGTGGTGTAATAAAAAATAAAAAAAAAAAAAAAAAAAAAGATAGTCAGACAGTTTGGTGTCTCACCATTTATGTAAGCAACCTTGTTTTCCTGAAGAATTCTTTGTGACTTTTGGACCATATCGCCGTGTGATTTGCTCTCTGGCCACTCGAACAGCGTCTCCTTCAGCTGACCCTGCAGGAGCTTCATGAAGCAGTGGGACTCTGTGTGGTCATGGATACTACTGCAAAGCGTTAAAGAACACTGTCAGAATATGACAACACTGCTCTCTTCATAAAAATTTGACAAGATGATGAGGATGTTAAAAAATAAAAATAAAAATTGGGAAGACGAGGCAAATCTTAAGTTTTCACAGCAAGAGCTAAACATACTTTGAACAGCTATGTTTAGAAGTCATACCCCATATCATATCACCAATACTGTATGTTCAAGACAACAAAACAAGAAATTCCCAGAACAGTCTTACTTAACAAGTCCCCGTTTTAAAACACTAGTACTGGTACAGCCATGTGATAAAACAGTCTTTTGTGTGAAAAAAAGACAGCTGCTGATCTGCATCTTTTAATATGTAATCATATAAAAAGATTTGCAACACATCCAGGAATTATCAGGTGACATTTGCTGACAAAGTGGGACATAAGATATCAAACAATGTCTATTTACATAATCTGTCAGTGTGTAGAACATTGGACTTTGTTATCTTTATTAACTAATGCAATAATTGCCAGTGAGAAACATGGCCATGTGGCCTACAGTATCTAAGAGTATAGGCTTGTAACATGACTGAAACCCCGAAACAGAAATCTTATTATTAAAGGTTTAAACAAATTCAGTTTTCTGATCAGATTATTTTATATGAATTATAATGATGTTATATTTGTATTTTTAAAGATACAAATATCTTACCTGCCGTGGCCTTCACCCCAGCAGAGAACCATGAGATTGAACTTCCCATTACCCTTATCAACCAAGTTCCTTGTGTATCTGCAGGAATGAGAAATATGTCAAATGTACATGGAAAAATATGATGCATTATGTCACAACTATACAGTTACAGAGGAGTGAAGGGCTGAATTTACAAGCAGTTTGGAGCTTTTTTGATTTAAATGTCTTGTCAAAATATAATATTTGATTTTCAAGTGATTAAATTCCTTTTTTTTTTTCTTTTCTTAAATGCAGAAAACTGATGATTGACTTGAAATAACGTTTTCACAATAAGCTGTACATTACATTAATACAAATCAATTTTATTTTGGAAATCCAAGAAGCTTTCACGTCATCCAGCTGGAACCCAAGAGTTTTAATCATTGTCCAATAGTCCTCATACAGAAAACCTCATACCCTCCACTTTTGTGTCTGTGTTCTTACTAGGCCTGTATTTTCTGGACTGTGCAATTGCAACGTGTGCAAACATTAGCAAGCAGATGCAGTTGTGAGATTGGGAAACTAGTGGCTTTCAGGACTTTCTAACAAACAAACAACAAAACAAAAACGCTCTTTTAATGACTATTCAAAATTTTCAGTCACACTTTGGTTAGGGTTCAGGCAATAAAACTAATTTGTTTCCTGAACTAGATTTAATGAAATATTATACTTTTTGTTTGAAATTTATTGCTCAACAAATTTAACCAGGCTGGAAAAAGAAAGTCTGCCCGGCAGAGACCAAACTTGTCCCATTTGCCAAAAATTAGCGGGTGTGTATCAGTTCTCGGTGTTGATTGGATGGCACACACCCGCCTTCCATTGAACCCTCACTAATCAAAAGACTGGGACGGGGGGGCTCTTTAAAGTTTTGAATAGAACAGAGAACTGAGGAATGAACTGGTTTGCATATCTCCTCATTGTAACACGACCTTTCAAAATAAAGCACACTAATATAGGCCAAGCAATTTTCTTTTCAAAGTAAAACCTTAGAGCAGCAGTTTTGTCACCTAAATGAAAATAAATAAATAAATCAGCCGCTTTCATTCAAAAAAAAAAATGCTTTTAGCTACTGAGCAAATGCATGCAGAAGTTTGCCACAGCATTTTTTTTTCAAGAGTACCTTTTCAATTTAAAAAAGGAAAGAAAAGGGACTCGTGACACATGTTTAGGGTAAACAAAAACATGATAGAGTAAATATAATTTTGAATATCGATAAAGCAACACGACACTAGGTCAAGGTGCAAAAGTCCAAAGGACAACAGCATAGATGAGGAATATCTGGGTGGGTAGGTGTTAAAAAACCCCAAAACAAACAGAAACACGAATATTTTACCTGTATTGGTCAAATTTTGCATACTTCATCCACTCCTGAGGATTGCTCTCATATGATTCCATTATATTCTGAACCTCCTCAACATTGATGCAGTCACTCTCGAAAATGCTGTGCAGGATTTTTATCAAGTCGTCCAGGGTTTCTGGTTTGACCACCTCGGTTTGCTCCATCGCTGTGCTGAAGAGGAGAGTTTTTTTCTCTCTCAGGTATGTCGCTTCAGTTAAAACTTCAGGTGGTGAAGACTTTCTAGTTTGCACAGTCCTTTAGTTTTTATAGGCCGGCGCCGCAAAATTTTTTTTTTGGGGGGGGGGGAGCTGGAGACGGACTGTACCATTACGGAAAATGGTGAACGCCCACATCTAATAGTCCAATTGAAATTTTGAATATTCTCTCGCTGGAAAGTTACAGAAACACGGGGTTGTATTTTCACCACACTTACTTTATAGAGGTGAATTTTATGTTTTTGTATGTTCTGACTAAGATATCCGTTAATCTCACACTTTAACAACTTGGACTAATCCTCTCTGAGACCGGCTCCACCACGTTGTCAAAACACAGACACCTCTTGTGTCTTTCTGTCTCCTTTTCTTCTCCCACCGAGACATTCCTCTAGTAATGGCCTTGCTCCCCTCTTTTTGTGGGCGCTCTCCTCTGAATTGATCCATTTGTTGCAGAACTGAATCAGGATGGAGGAGAAAACGTGGGAAAAATGTTTGATTGGCAGCAGTCATGTTATGGGAGACATAAAATGTGTGTCTGCATATATTACTGTATATTTTAATAGTGTTTGTCTTTAGCTTAGCTTTGATTTAGTTGCATGAAGTGATTTAGTTGCAAGAAGTCATTAGATTAATACTGTAGAGGTGTACTGAAAAAATGCTTTTTTAAAAATAAAAAAAAGCTACAAGTTTTTATATATGTAAATTATAAACTATGCAAAGAGAAGAAGTAAAAGAAAATCCTTTAATAAATGTAATCCAGTAATAAAAATAAAATAATTAATTCAAGAAGGCAACTTAAGTAGCTGTTATCTATTTGAAAAAAAAAATGGGTGAATACTTAATTACAGATTGTGCAATGAGCACGGACTGGAGGTTTTTCTTTCTTTCCTGGGTGTAGGTTATCACTGGTGGAAAAGTACCAGAGCAGGATATGTTATGATGGGAGACTCATAAACAAACATAACCAGCTGATTGTCAGCATAAGTGGAAATAAAGGTTGATTCAAATCTATGCACATTTGTGATCATAAAATGTGACATAATCTGGAGATCAAAAAGATTAAATGCTTTCATTTTCTTGTCTGTGAAATTCTTCCTTTCAAATAGAGACAAAGAGAACCAGTCAGAGAAATATTTTGGATGAGATTGCCAACATCTTCACACTGTGTTCTAGCAGCTGTTTATCAGTGAGTCCCACCTTAATGCACATTTTTCTTAAGACACGCAACACATTCCACACAGGTGATTCTTTTCCAGTCCTCCACATGCTTGTCTCAAAAATAAAGTGTGACAAAAGTGTGTGTCAATACGGGAAATAAATAAATGAATAAATAGTTTGTACAGTGCAGTGACTGATTAAAAGATAAAAGATAAAAAGATACTAGAGAGCTAAGTTTGGTCACCATGTCATGCTCAAATGGAGATGAAAAAGACAGTTTTTACATTTTTCATACATAACTTACATAAATCTATGTAATTGTTGTTTTTTTTGAAAATTTTATCACAAAACTTAATTGTTATCATTTGTTTTATTTATTTACTTTGACTTCAGATTAGAGTCTAAATCCATGGCTGAGCTCAGGTTTTTCCAGCAGGAATACTCTGCATTTGTTTTCTGTCATTCAACACATATCTGTACTTTAGAGGAAAATCCAACCTGTCTGAGGAAGCATCATGTTCGTGTTTACTAGAACCAAGAGTGGAGAACTTTCTTTGCATCACAATGTGCCAAGTTTTCCTCTGAGCTGCCACATCAGCATTGTAAAATGAAGTTTTGCTCCACCTTGTGGCTGAAACTTTGAATCTTGATTACCCAGGTGGAGCTGCCCACATTGAGGAAAAAGCCCCCCCAAAACCCTGCAAAAACCCCCGAAAACACTCCAGAATTCAGTAGCTTTGAGAAGCTCCTTTGGCAGCAATAACTTGAAGGAATTGTTTTCTGTATGACTGTCAGTCTCCCACATTGTTGTAGAGGAATTTTGGCCAATCTTCTTTACAATGTTGCTTCAGTTCATTGAGGTTTGCAGACACTTGCTTATGCACAGCTCTCCTGTCACAGCATTTCAGCCAAGTTGAGGTCTATACCTTCAGTGGTCTGTAGCTTCAGTGGTCTGTTGCAACACCTTGATTTTTCTTTTTCAGTCATTCTGGTTTAGATTTGCTGCTGCTATTATTGTCCTGTAGCACGACCCAGTTTCATCCATGCCTTAACTTTTGGACAGATGGCCTCATATGTATATTTATAGAGATATTTATAAAGAGGAGTTCATGGTCAAATCAATGACTGCAAGGTTCCCAGGTCCCGTGACTGCAAAACATACCCAATCATCACCCCTCCACCACTGTACTTGACGTGGTATGAAGTGTTTGCATTGATAAGCTGTGCTTGTTTTTTGCCAAATGTGGTCCTGTGAAATATGACAGACATCAGCACTTTGGTCACGTCCTTCAGAAGTTCAGAGACAGCTTTGCAAACATAAGCTGTGCTGCCATGTTTTTTATAGAAAGAAGAAGCTTTCTGGTGTTGACCTCTTTCAATCAGGTTTCTATTCAGTCTCTTATTAATTCTTCTACTATGAACTTTAACATTCAGTGTTCACACAACCTGTATGTTCCAGAGGAGCAAAGTGCCAGAACTTCTGGTTTTATAGAGGTTGTCACACTTATTGGTTATCAGTCAGTGAATTGCATTTGATTAGCAGCACCTGGCTGCTATTTACTCTTTTATAATATAAGGGTGAACGCAGTTTTTCATGGGACTGCACAGCATCTGGTGTAAACTTTTCATATGACTGCATTTGTTTGTCTTTTTTTTTTTACAATGCTGAGTTTTCTTTGTAAATTCATCTTTTTAAAAGACAGCCTTCTTTTTGTATGCTGTATGGTGACAACAAAAAACAGTTGCTGGCTGCCTAAATCATCGTTCAAGTTTGTGTTTTTAGTGCAAGAGGACTTTAGACTGCATAGCATTTTTCATGCAGATGTTTACATTAAACCATATAAAAACCATTAGAGGACCAGATTTTCTAATGTTTACTATAATAAATATTAGTGAAATCGGCCAGGATCAATGATGATGTGAAAAATGTGGAATTTCTAACTTAAAAAACAAGTTACCTTAGAGTTAAGTTACTTTTAAACCAGTTTTTTCTAACACAAAATCAAAAAGGTTTGTGTCATAAAATTAAGCACAAATGTGTTGACCATGCAATAGACTGGTGATCTTTACAGGGTCTACCTGGCCTCTCTTGCCCTATGACAGATGAGATAAGCTCCAGCCCCCTTTGCAAAATGTGGATAAATGGAAGAGAATGGATGGATGGACCAAAAAACGATTAAAAACATGTTTAAATTAAATGAAACATTAAAAGCTTGTATAAAGACACAAAAGCTAAATGTGTGCCAAGTTGTGAGGCAACATTTCCAAACACTGACAAATGTTAAAAATTCTTATGTTTATAATTTCAAATAATGTTCCTTCAAAGTTAAAAGTTTAACTAAGAACATAAACAAGACTACAGCACATTTTACTGTTGTCTTCTTGAGCATGGCTATATCTCATATTTTTATATCGTCATGAAATTTGATGATTGAATTCTTGGTCCTTTGTTAACCTGGTCAGTGTTTGTGACCTCATCACGTTTCCTCTAATGTCACCAGACCCAAATGCAATTTTTTGGAGAATGCACTAACAATATATAAAATATTCCCAGATAATCAACCTTGTGAACTTTGGATAAAATTTTCATTTGGCATTCAGTGCTTCAGGGTTAGTCCTGTGTTTTCATGGCAAGACGGTTAGTTTGAAACTGTGTAGAGTTTATATGCTCTCCCGGGTGCTTGGGTGGATTTCCTCTAGTTACTTCACCCAGGTGCACCTCCAGAATTTTTTCATTGGGGTGGCTAGTTGGGGGCCACTAAAAATATTGGTGTGCCTACTTAATTTCCTGCTATTAAAGCTGATATCACTGAAAATAGTGACCAACATTTAACCAAATAAGATGAAAATAAGATATAAGATTTGAAATCTTTTTTAAGTGATCGATTGATTGTTGGGTGCCTTCTGCTCTCTTGTAATCACGTTTATTAACATTATTAGCAACATAGGATAATCTTGGTGGCTGGCCAGTGGCCACGCCCCCTTGGTGACGCCGTTGGCCACCGGCATCTCATTGTCCAGAGATATGTGCTTTAGGTTAACTGGCCAAAGATGTCACTGTCATGAATATTATCCTACCTTTAAAGTTACTCTAATAAGTTTTCAGGACTTTTTAGGGGTAATCTAAGTTCCACTAAGATGAAGAAGATGAAGAAACATCAACTTAATATTAAAAATGGTGATCACAGTAAAATACGTTCAGTGATTAAGAAAATGCTTGGGCTGACCCCAGTGGGTGAATGTGGAAAGAATCACTCTTAGAATGAGGAACAAATCAATAAACGCTCTTTCTTCTTCTTCTTTTTTTAACCCCGTGATTTGCATTTACCCACAGCGAAGTTTGAGCCATCTCGGCTGCTGTAGCAGGAGGAGGAGAGCATGACTGGTCCTTGACGTGGAATATTTCCGTAAAGAGACGATGAAGGAGTAGCAGAGTGTAGCTCGAAGCTATCCCGTTTACTAACCTTAAATCGAGACGGGCTTTAGCCGTGAATCCCGCTCAGATCTGGGTTCACCGGAGCTGACGGACACCAGTCTTTCGCAGACTGATCCCTTTCTCTTCCCCGCCTCATTCTGATCCGCTACAATCATGATAAAAGCCATTTTAATATTCAACAACCACGGCAAACCAAGGCTTTCTAAATTCTACGAACATTATGTGAGTGAAAATTTCTTCTTAATATTTTCCATTTATTTGCTGCACATATGTAAGATTCACGGGTCAACGTGGAAACGGTTAATTTAAAAAAAAAATCACAAGCTGTACAGCTGTGCTGAGGACACTTTTAAAAAAATTCAATCACTGTCAGCATTAATGACACTGTGCTGCACACTGTTTGAATGGGAAGCTGTGGGTACTTCAATAATGTGCAGTTGTTTCA